GAACTTCTTTTTTCCAGCAACTGCTGTTATCTGAATAGAAAAAATGGTTCTTAAATGAAAGAGCTGTTCGGTGCAAGGATGAATGCACGATGGCAATGTTACTGCCAGTAGGTGCGTGAGCTGTTTACTGCCAGTTAAAACTGTTAGCTGGGATTGTTTTATTTGCAACAACCAGCAGTGCAGCAGCTGGTTGTGTGAACTGCTATTCGCAATAACAATAGGTCGAAACATTTATAACTTGAAAGTAGACGCGAGCAACGGTCGAACTCGAACAGTGTGACCCGAACATGTTCAAGTTCAAGTATCTGGTGGTAGTCACCTCGAACTGTCGAACAAGTTCGGGTCAGACATGTAATGGTTTGAACCAAACATTTTTTGCAAAAGAAAGTGTTTCTGCTCATGTTTAGGTGCAAAAGCTGCCAGCTGCAAATTGTTTCGTACAATGTAGGCCTTTGCGATGGTCAGCTCACCAGGAACTGAGAAATGCCCCAGTTGGGGTCGTGATAACCTAGGCAAGCCAAGCCCTGTGAGCACACTTAAAACAAGATCTTGCTCATTTACCTGACTTGTGTACACGTGATTAACGAGCCTGGCATGAGAAAAAAATGGAAGGGTGTATGCACAGTTCCAATGTTTGCATGGGCGGATGGCTGTAGCAATAACATACACAGGAACAGTCTACTTGTTCCATCGTACTCTTGTCTCCACTTGTCGATTAGCTGTGGAGAGCACTGCCTATCGCCATATGTGTAGACATCAAATCAGACCACGCTTTCTGACATGCTCCATCAGTCCATCAATTCCCATCACACCACCAGGTCTCTGGGTCAAAACATGTTGGCGGGGTCCATTCCTTCGACTTTTGTCAACTTAATCAACCTCTCATACCTGTTAGTTGCAAAAAGTATTATTTTCCAGAAAACGCTGTCCTCTGCAAGAAATGTTTGTTGAAGGAGCTGTTTGGTGCAAGAGATAATAGGTGTCCATGTATTGCTGTAATTTGCGTGAGCTGTGAAAGGTAATAACTGTTAGATGTGAATGTTCAAATTGCACAAACCAAGAATCTGTTGGTTGCATGAACTGCTAATTGCGATAGCATCCAGTCTATACAATTATTAGTTGCATTGCAAAATCTGTATTCGATACAACATGGCTCATCTCAGGACACTTACACAAGATTTTGCTCGTGTTTTTCGTGTGATTCGTTTACCAAACGTGCTAAAAATATCCCGCATCCCTTCCCCCCTGCTTTTCCCCTTCCTCCCTCCCCCTCTCCCTCCTTTGTTCACTCCTTTTTACGTCATCAGAAACCTTGGAATCAACAATTATTTGAACGGCTCCTTTCCAAAGTACATTGGCAGCCTGGAGATGCTTGAGGATTTGTAAGTGTTTAGTTTCCGAGGATTTGACCTACTGCATTCTGCACGTGTGCTGTTGTCCTAGCAGTGATCCGATTTAGCTGGAAGAAAATTAAGCTCTAGAGGTTGCACACATTGGATTATATGGCATTGGCAATAAGGCCACTGCAAGGGTTGAAGTGCAGCTGTGCAAGGGGTGCTAGCCTAGACATGAGCAACGAGGCAAGTGCTTTACTCGACTCGTTCTTATTACTCGTTTTGGGCAAGAAATGAGTCGGCCTTTTCAGGAAAGTTACTTCACGAGTCGAATCGAGTATCACTCGCGAGTAAATGTTTTCTCGCAGTTTGCTCGTTTTTTAAAACGAGTAATTTATTACTCGGTTTTGACACCTGTTTAGCGCAAAACGAGTCGAGTATTACTTGCTCCAAAACGAGTCGAGTATTACTTGCTCCAAAATGAGTATTACTCAGTCTGAGTAATAAATTACTCGCTTTTTTGCACAAGTTACGAGTCTCGTGTAGGGTTAAAACTATTCGGAGGAGTAATACTCGACTCGACTCGTTTCGAAAACGGGTCGGCTGAAATCGAGTTGAGCATTACTCGACTCGGCCTTTGCTCATGCCTATGCTAGCCCAACTATATTTCTCCAGGAAGGGCCGCTGGGGCTGAAGAGGATGGAAGGTGAAGGACAAAAATGAGGTTACGAGGAGAACGAGCATTCATGAGAAATAGGGGCGTGGGGTGGGGGTGATATACGGACAAGTTGACAATTTGCGCTGATTTGGAACGGACAGAATGTGTGATAGATCCACATGAGTCACCTGCTTGGCTCATTACGAGCCGCTCATGATGAACCACCCCTGGATCGATGTTGTTTGTTTGTTTAGGCACGTAAGTACGTATGATTATAATCACTGTTCAGGAGTCCAGGATTTGAATCCATGTACGGCCCTGGTGAAATTGCCCATTCCGTTTAGCACCCTCGCAGATTAGCTTGTCATCGCAGTTTTCATTGGGTCTTGATTGTTGCTGTTCTAAGTTCGGTTCGTTAAGTGTTGCAGAGCTTATCATCCACTGTCAAAGTCTTTGAGTAGTGCATTTGCAAGTATGCACACACACGAAGGTTCTATAACGCTTGGGCAGAAAAATCACGAACATCCTTCGATGCCACCTTGCTTCCCATCTCCTTTTGTCACTTCTCCCATCCCAATGCCAGAGACCTAATTTGGTTGCGGCTAACCGGGCCGATTCCATCCACCATTGGCAGACTCACGAAATTAACCACCCTGTAATTATGGCAAAAATGACCACATCACTGTTTTATTAGACTGGATTTCTCTTTTTCGAAAAGGGGTTAATTCTGTTTGATAACATAGTGTTTTATTGACCCAAAGTCCATAGGGTTACAACGTTTAGTTTTAGGTGTGGTAAGTCAAGAGATTTGTTAATAAGGACAATAAAAATCCTCAAGAATATGACTGGGCGATTACCTCATGTTTCCATATTTGTTACACATTGTTGTCAATGTTGCTTTTAGTTGGATCAACTCATTTCTCAAGCAGTGATTGACCTTGATCTAGAAACTCACGTAACGTAAGCCTATCGATTGCCTTTCCCTTGATCTCTTCAGGGGTCTCCTTGCAACTCAAATGAATGGCACCATTCCAGATTCGATTGGCAAGCTTATAAATTTAACTGGATTGTAAGCGTACTTGCTTTCCCTGTCAGTTCCATCATGTGTTGTACACCACAGGCATGATCAACACTTGGAGCCTGGTTAGGCCTGCACCCATTTAGCCCATCACACCATGTTGGCCCCTCACAAAGGACTGGCCCGGTTGTCACAACAGGCCTACTATATGGGGCCTGCTTACTTTTAATTCAGTTTTTCACAAGGACGGTCTGGAAGTTCATTAACTTGGCCTCTCAATCTTGAGCAAACGCCGCTGCTGACCAAGGCTGGAGAATACGCTCGGTGCTAAACTGGCATCAATTTGCCAAAAGTGTTATTGAACGAGCCAACATGTGTGCCTGAACGAGCCCACATGTGTGCTTGAACTAGGCCACATGTGTGGCAATCGTGCCACCTTGCTCACCTGTCCAGGATGACATAACTCCTGGAACTCGAGCCTGACGTGGGTGAGCTGAGATGGGTGTGAGGAGGAAGAGATGGGTGTGAGCAGGAGAGGGCTGGCAAGGCAAGGAGCATTGGATCATGGCAGCACTGCTCCAGCTCGGATCATGGCAGCACTGCTCCAGCGCGGATCATGGCAGCACTGCTCCAGCTCGGATCATGGCAGCACTGCTCCAGCTCGGATCATGGCAGCACTGCTCCAGCTCGGATCATGGCAGCACTGCTCCAGCGCGGATCATGGCAGCACTGCTCCAGCTCGGATCATGGCAGCACTGCTCCAGCTCGGATCATGGCAGCACTGCTCCAGCTCGGATCATGGCAGCACTGCTCCAGCTCGGATCATGGCAGCACTGCTCCAGCTCGGATCATGGCAGCACTGCTCCAGCTCGGATCATGGCAGCACTGCTGGCAGCACTGCTCCCACTCGGATCATGGCAGCACTGCTCCGGCTCGGATCATGGCAGCACTGCTCCGGCTCGGATCATGGCAGCACTGCTCCGGCTCGGATCATGGCAGCACTGCTCCGGCTCGGATCATGGCAGCACTGCTCCGGCTCGGATCATGGCAGCACTGCTCCGGCTCGGATCATGGCAGCACTGCTCCGGCTCGGATCATGGCAGCACTGCTCCGGCTCGGATCATGGCAGCACTGCTCCAGCTCGGATCATGGCAGCACTGCTCCGGCTCGGATCATGGTAGCACTGCTCCGGCTCGGATCATGGCAGCACTGCTCCGGCTTGGATCATGGCAGCACTGCTCCGGCTCGGATCATGGCAGCACTGCTCCGGCTCGGATCATGGCAGCACTTGAGACTCGCTCACCAGCGTGATGAAGTTGACGACAAGGGCAAGGGCTGCCCTCTCTCCCTCCTTTCCTACCTCCCCCTCCCACACACGTCTCTCTCACACACTTCTCTCTCACACTCTTCTTGCTGCAGCCACATTTCAGGTACCAACTTCTCTGGGCACCTCCCTCCTTCCATGGGAAGCCTCACCAACCTCTCTGCCCTGTATGCCCCTTTGCACTGTATGACGTGTTGGCACCCACACTGTGTGCTCCGTTCTCTACCATGGCTGAAAAGTTTCACATTTTGCTATCACACTTGAATCAACACTCATAGTACACACTGTGTAAGCACGCATGGTGATTCAGCATTAGCAAGCGTAACCAACTATGAATAACCAAGGATCAATGAGCATTGGTCACAACGTTCTGTTCGTCTGCAGGAAGCTGGATGGCACGTCACTCACATGCCCGCCAAGTGGTACCAGCTGTGAGGTTCAGCAGAACCTTCACAGTGCCTTCTGCAAGACTTGCCCAGATTTCTGCTCCACCTGTATCGCACCGCCTCCAGGTACGGCAACACCTGCATGTATGGCAGCATCTGCAGGTATGGCAGCATCTGCAGGTACGGCAGCATCTGCAGGTACGGCAGCATCTGCAGGTACGGCAGCACCTGCAGGTACGACCATCTTTTTCAATAACTCGCTTTGGAAAACTTGAACGTCATGTGTTTCGCGTCATGCTCTTGCTGTTGCGAAGCGCTCTCTTTTACACCACAACACACAACTGAGCGCGGTTTACTCAGGATGGCCAATTGCACTCATCTGTTTCGCTCGATGCTGCTATTGTGCCTGCAACGCCTGCCTTCCACCTCCCCACTGCACATCTGTACCTGCAGCACCCCCATCAGCAGCCAACCCTGCACCCGCGCTGTCTTCATCGCAAGGGGGTCTGTCCACAGCAGCCATTGCCGGCATTGCTGCTGCTGCGGTGGCTGCTCTCCTGCTGGCAGTGCTGCTCGGTGCACTGCTGTGGCGGAGGCACAGCCAGGGAAAGGCATTCTCGAGGGCTGTCCCCCTGTCTCCCTCCCTGTCTCCCTCCCTGTCTCCCTCCCTGTCTCCCTCCCTGTCTCCCTCCCTGTCTCCCTCCCTGTCTCCCTCCCTGTCTCCCTCCCTGTCTCCCTCCCTGTCTCCCTCCCTGTCTCCCTCCCTGTCTCCCTCCCTGTCTCCCTCCCTGTCTCCCTCCCTGTCTCCCTCCCTGTCTCCCTCCCTGTCTCCCTCCCTGTCTCCCTCCCTGTCTCCCTCCCTGTCTCCCTACCTGTCTCCCTCCCTGTCTCCCTCCCTGTCTCCCTCCCTGTCTCCCTCCCTGTCTCCCTCCCTGTCTCCCTCCCTGTCTCCCTCCCTGTCTCCCTCCCTGTCTCCCTCCCTGTCTCCCTCCCTGTCTCCCTCCCTCTCTCCCTCCCTTTCTCCCTCCCTGTCTCCCTCCCTGTCTCCCTCCCTGTCTCCCTCCCTCTCTCCCTCCCTCTCTCCCTCCCTGTCCCCTCCCTGTCTCCCTCCCTGTCTCCCTCCCTGTCTCCCTCCCTGTCTCCCTCCCTGTCTCCCTCCCTGTCTCCCTCCATGTCTCCCTCCCTGTCTCCCTCCCTGTCTCCCTCCCTGTCTCCCTCCCTGTCTCCCTCCCTGTCTCCCTCCCTGTCTCCCTCCCTGTCTCCCTCCATGTCTCCCTCCCTGTCTCCCTCCATGTCTCCCTCCCTGTCTCCCTCCCTGTCTCCCTCCCTGTCTCCCTCCCTGTCTCCCTCCCTGTCTCCCTCCCTGTCTCCCTCCATGTCTCCCTCCCTGTCTCCCTCCCTGTCTCCCTCCCTGTCTCCCTCCCTGTCTCCCTCCCTGTCTCCCTCCCTGTCTCCCTCCCTGTCTCCCTCCCTGTCTCCCTCCCTGTCTCCCTCCCTGTCTCCCTCCCTGTCTCCCTCCCTGTCTCCCTCCCTGTCTCCCTCCCTGTCTCCCTCCCTGTCTCCCTCCCTGTCTCCCTCCCTGTCTCCCTCCCTGTCTCCCTCCCTGTCTCCCTCCCTGTCTCCCTCCCTGTCTCCCTCCCTGTCTCCCTCCCTGTCTCCCTCCCTGTCTCCCTCCCTGTCTCCCTCCCTGTCTCCCTCCCTGTCTCCCTCCCTGTCTCCCTCCCTGTCTCCCTCCCTGTCTCCCTCCCTGTCTCCCTCCCTGTCTCCCTCCCTGTCTCCCTCCCTGTCTCCCTCCCTGTCTCCCTCCCTGTCTCCCTCCCTGTCTCCCTCCCTGTCTCCCTCCCTGTCTCCCTCCCTGTCTCCCTCCCTGTCTCCCTCCCTGTCTCCCTCCCTGTCTCCCTCCCTGTCTCCCTCCCTGTCTCCCTCCCTGTCTCCCTCCCTGTCTCCCTCCCTGTCTCCCTCCCTGTCTCCCTCCCTGTCTCCCTCCCTGTCTCCCAGTTGATTCTTCCCAACAACTTCACCCGTCTCATTTTTCCACAATTCCAACCATCCATTCCCTCCATCTCCCATCCGTTCGATGCACCCATCATCTCCTCCCACTCACCTGTTTAAAGATCTCTTAGCACTTGCTTTTGTTTGTTTTGTGATCGCTGATGCACACGCACATGAAGGCACTCTCGAAGGCTGCCGCTTCAACCACGGAAGGCGGCAAGGGTGCGACTCTGTTCCTAGATTCGCCATCTCCTCTCTCTTTCTCCTCTCTCTATAACATAGCCATTTGTTTGTCTTCCTAATCCCAACAACTACTCACACTTGAGTTCTTGCTATGCTATCCATCTAGTCCTTCTAACGCTGCCCTTACATATATTCCTTAGTAATTACTTTTCACGTTGTCCCACACAACCCCTTAAACAATCACCAGCCATGGTTCTAGAGAACACAGAAGCAGCATCTGCTGCAGCTGCAGCGGCAGCAGCAGCAGTAGTCGCAGGGAGTGGGGAGGAAGGGGTGGTGGTGGAGGTGGGGGCGGCGCAGGCGGATGTGTGTCGGGAGTATTCCCTGGAGGACATGGCAGCAGCCACGGGGGACTGGGCGGAGCGCAACAGGATTGGCAGCGGCAGCTTTGGTGATGTGTACAGAGGCGTGAACCCGCACGGTGGGAGCGAGGTGTGGGCGGTGAAGCGCGCTCGAGTGCTCACCAACGACTTCCAGCGAGAGGTGACCCTCCTGTGCTCCCCGTGTGCTCCCCGTGTGCTCTCCGTGTGCTCCCCATGTGCTCCCCGCTTGCTCCCCGTGTGCTTCCCAGGTGCTCGTTGCTCGTTGTGTCACTGTCCGGTTGTATTTTTCCTCCTCCGTCCCCCCCTGGCAGGTGAGGGAGATGGCATCGAAGCACCACCCCAACCTGGTGCGCCTCTTGGGCTACTGCATCGCGTTTGACCCAGCATCGCGCACCATGGAGCAAATACTCGTCTACGAGTTCATGCCCAACCACGACCTTGACGCCTGGATCGCACCCGGTGCCGCCACTCCGCTTTCCCTGCGCCAGCGAGTGGACATTCTGATTGGCGTGGCCAAGGGGTTGCAGTACCTACATGACTTTGGCATCGTGCATCGCGACATCAAGCCCGCCAACATCCTCCTCAGCGCCACCATGCAGGCAAGCTTGATCCTCGCTTACATACTCTGTTCTCATGCTATCAACCTCCCTCGCACTTCGTTCCGCCCTACCTTATTCCTCAGTCATTCATTCTTGAACATGCCACTGCTGCTCCTGCCGTTGTGGTGTGAATGAGGGCAGGCCAAGATTGCGGATTTTGGGCTGGTGAAGCTTAGTGGCGGCACGGCGGCAGGCACAACAGTGGCAGCCACGCGAGTGATGGGCACACCGGGCTTTGTGGACCCCGCTTACTGCAAGTCACACAAGGCCACCCCCATGGCTGATGTGTACAGGTGAGGAGAGGCACCCCCTATGGCTCAAAGATTGAGTGAAGAAAGATAACTGATGTGCGCCGGTGCAATGGACGACATTGCGGGTTGTAGAGCACGTGAGAGGGCAGTGTAACGTGACTAGGAGAGCAAGTGCAAAGCAGACTGTCCGTGCCTGGTCATCGTCGTCACTGCAAAAGCGATTTTCAAATCTTGTTGGTGTTTGCTTTGTGATGGCAGCTTTGGGGTTGTGATGCTGGCGGTGATCACGGGGCGCAAGGCAGTGCAAGAAGCAGAGGGCGGCCATGTGAACCTCAAGCAATGGGTGAGGCACGAGGGAAGCAATTCGTGGGGTAGCGATTCCCGAGCTGAGAGCTAATGCTCTTCGTGAGACTGATCCTTCACAGCATATCCTCAAACTACCACAAACCCTCCGCAGCATTGCAGCGGCATTCACTAAGCCTCCCTCCTCCCATCCCTGCAGGTGGAGCCACTGGTTGCATCCGATTCGGTCGCAGCCTTCAAAGACCCACGCCTGGATGCCCCGGATGTCATTCTGCTGCCTTCTCCCTCCTCCCATCCCTGCAGGTGGAGCCATTGATAAAATCCAGTTCAGTGGCAGCCTTCAGAAACCCTTGCCTGGACGACTCGGATGACATTCTGCTGCGCCTTGCCTCTCCCACCCTCCCCCCATGTGTGCAGGTGGAGCCACTGGTGGCATCCAATTCAATCGCAGCCTTCAAGGACCCGTGCCTGGACGCCCCGGATGACATTCTGCTGCGCCTCACCCGCCTGGCTCTCTCCTGCACCGCCATGCCCACCGCCTCGCGCCCCTCCATGGGCAAGGTGCTGGGGGAGCTGGTGGCGGTGAGGGGGAAGATTGTGGGAGAGGAGGTGGACAAGGTGGCGTCGTGCATCGACAGCGAGATTGACACGTCCACCACTCTCGACTTCAATGCTTCCATTGCCCGTGCTCACCAGATTGCCATGCAGAGCGGTTCCTCTGATACTGTGTGAGCTGTGGTTTGACACTGCACACGTCAACCATTCCAAGGTGTGTTGGCAACAGTCAGAATCTTTGGACATATCAATGGGGCGTGTTGCTGTTCTCCAATGACTAGAAAACAATGCCGTTTTCTTGCCTTTCGAAGTTCTTACCATTAGAGGCCTTGGACACAACCTGCTCAGCTCAGCATTTGTCAAGAGGGATCTATATGCATTGAACAGATAGGCTGGGTAACTTTCTAATCTAGGCCAAAAGGTAGATTCAGAGCAGCTCTTCATTCTCCATTGTACACTTCAGTTCAGTAATGCATTGCCAATTTGCCAACAAAAGTTGTACAACATAAAATCTTAAACCAGTTGGGGCAGCAAGTTCTGATCATGTGGGAAAGCTCAATACATGGCAGCTATTTTTCGTTCGAACAACAGAGTACTGTATAGCAGCCAACCAAGATACATTTGCTACAGTATGACTATCTTGGGCAAGACAGATCTACCATGGAAGATCTCTTCTGTCACATCATAATCGAAGCTCACCAGGTTACAGGCCTAAGGCCTGCCACCTACGAGATAGAGCTGATGTCACCTGTGTGGGATGGCGTCAGATTCTCTGAGCTGGGTGCAGCCCCATCTCCGCCCCCACTGCATGTAGCAGTGCGCGCAGTGCCACTGCCAGCTCTGGGTCCCGGCTGGGTGGGGGAAGGGGAGTGCATGGCACAGGTAAAGGGTTGAGCAGGAGTTGATGCTGGGATGACATGGTATGAACGGGAGGTGGTTGGATGAGGGGGAGGTGGTTGGATGAGGGGGAGGTGGTTGGATGAGGGGGAGGTGGTTGGATGAGGGGGAGGTGGTGGAAGGGAAAGAAGGTGGCAGGTGAAGGGGAGGTGGGAGAGGAGAAGGTGATCCACGGGGATAGCAGTGAACCTGGCAATGTGACAAGGTTGCACTGGGGTGGGAGTGAAAGGGTGGAACACAGCGTATGGAACTCACAAGTTCCACCAATGGCATGCTGCCACGTGGCCATGCAGCAAGCATCACCTGGCAAGAATGAGGTCGCATGCGAAGGGGTAGATGGCGAACAGGTGGGCCTTGCGCCATCCCATGCACCCGCCTTGCCCGTCCGGCAGCACCCGCCACTCACACTCACTTTCACTCCCCCCCACACCATCCGTCCCCTGAATGCACTCCCCCTCGCCACCTTCCCCACCCCCGGTGCCAGCAGCGCAAGCCGCTGCATCGGTGGCGCTGCCAGGCTCGGGAAGAGTAGCAGTGGGAGCTGCGGCCGATGCAGCAATGGAAGAGGTGGGCGCAGAGGCGGGCTTGCTGTGCGGTGCAGTGTGAGCTGCGATGCAGTGAGCGAGGAAGTGCGCTGGTGGCTCTGGGAGGGAGAGCGCGGTGAAGCTGTGAGCAGGAGGAGGGGTGCAGCGGAGCATGGCGGGGAGGAGGTGCGAGAGGGGGGCGGCGACAGAGGGGTGCAGCGAGATGGCTGTGAGGCCTGCCAGAATGACCCTCACCTCCCTCCTGCGCGCCGCTGCCATGCTGCCCGCCCCTGTGATGAGAAGGCAGGGGGGAGGACAGGTGCAGGGACAGGTAGAGGGGACAGACAGGCGGAGGGGACCGGTGGATTGGACTGACTGAGGGATCAGATGGATTGCACGGAGTGGGGGGACAGGAGGAGCGGGCAGTTGGAAGAGACATGCAGGAAAACAAAATCCCAGGCAGTCCTCTGCACTCACCGCGCACCAGGCAGTCCTCTGTGAAGCGCTGCAGGCGGCGGCGGGCGAAGGCGAGGAGGCGGGGCATGGCGATGCTCGCCACCTGCACCGCGGAGCTGCTCTCTGGGTCGTTGGGACTGGGCTGCCTGTATGGAGACGGCGTGGGAGGACATGGGAGGGCATGCGAAGGCGTTGAGAGGGCATGGCAGCACACAGTAGGCGGGGCATGGCAATGCTCGCCACCTGCACCGCGGAGCTGCTCACTGGGTCGCTCAGCTTGGGCTGCCTGTATGGTGGTGGACGAGGGAGGGCATGGAAGGACGTGAGAGGGCGTTGAGAGGGCATGGCAGCACACAGCTGGATCGCTGAGCTGGATCACTGAGGCTGGGCTGCCTGTATGATGGCGGGCGTGGGAGGGCGTGGGAGGGCGTGGGTGAGAGGGCGTGGGAGGGCGTGGCAGCACTTAGTGGGACTTGCTGCACACCTTCACATGCTAGTGCGTGCAACGCACAGAGTAACGTGTCCTCCTCCGACTTGCTGCACTCAGTGTGCTGCTGCTGCTGCTAATGATGCCGGTGTTGTGGCCAAACACGTAGTCACCTTACAGGAATCACGAGGAGGATAATTTACGCACGCTACTGGTGTCAGAGAGAAGGTCAACTCACACTGCACGAGTGGAGGAGGGTGAGCCACAGCCACTCACCCGCAGAACTGCGGCAGCAGGTGGATGGCAGTGAAGCACACAGGGTGCAGCGTCTCCCTCCACATACCACATCCCCCCTGTAACACCCCCTCACCACTGCCTCCACCACTGCCACCACCACTGCCTCCACCACTGCCGTTATTGCCACCCATGCTGCTGCTGCCTGCCCCATTCGATGACCCACCCACCATCTCCCCATCACTGCCTCTGCTCCCACTCCCCGCAGCTATAGCGCTGCTGCTCCTCGTCCTGGTCACCACAGCATGCCCACCACTGCCACTGCCACCGTTGCTACTGAAGCCATCGCTTCCCCCCCTTCCCACGCTGCCTGTCCCCTTCACCTGCCCCCCTGCCCCTGCCCCGCCAGAAGCACCCCACCCCAGCCAGCTACCCACACGTGCAAACCCACTCAACGGCGCTGCTGCCTTCCCCTCACCCTTAGGCCCCTGCCCTCCTGACAACGACCCTGAAATTCCACCTGAACCAGCACCTGACCCTGACCCTGAGCCTGGGGCTGCAGCAGAGGCAGAGGTTGGGCCGGAGGCAGTGCGGAGAGGCGAGACAGAGACTGCAGGGGTGGAGAAGGAGCGGGAGCGGTCTGGTGCGGCACGGTGGGATGCAGTGCTGGTGGCGGGAGAGAGGATTCTTGCACTATTGCCGCCTGCTGCCAGGCTGCCGTTGCTTGCTGGAGCAGCTGCAGCCGCTCTGCTGGGCGCTTCTCCTGATACAAGAAAGGCAAGGGGGAGGGGGAGGGGGAAGAGGAGGAGATGGGGAAAGGGAGGGGGAGCAAGTGTCATTGAGGGATAACACGTGTAACCAGCACAGGCAGGGACAGGGGCATTGTGGAAAGGAGAGGGACCCTTGGAGGAGTTAGCAATGACAGAAGCGACGGTGGAGTGAGAAAGATCGGAATGACCAAGGCTGCCTGAAAGGTCATGCAGGCTGCCACACGCACCGTGCTCTGAGCCGCTGTGCCCTGAACTCCCACGGCCACGCCCGCCCCCTGTGAGCTGCACCTCCCCCACGGCCCTCTCTGCCAGGTCCAGCAGCAGCCCCACCAGACGCTGCTTCACCTGCCGTGCCGCATGGGGTGGAGAAGGGCGGGGGTGAGAGAGAGGCGGGAGGTAAGAACGGCAGTGAGTCCGAAGGGTTGTCAATGTGGTGGGTTTGGAATGCATGGCGTGGACAAGGATTGAGTGGATTCACCGGTGAATGAATCCTGGAGGCTCCTGAGGCAAGGCTCCTGTCTCACGGCCCGCTCTGTCAGGTCCAGCAGAGCAGCCCCACCAGGCGCTGCTTGGATTGGATGAAACTTTGCTGGGTGGTGAACGGATGATGTAGTCACTGCGTTAGTCACTGCGCAGAGTGAGCCTGACTGGGCCACGTTCCTGCCCTGCCCCATCCCCCACTCACCTCCAGTGGCGCGTCTTGGCAGTATCTGAGCACCTTCTCTCCCAGCAGCCGCACCATCCGCTCCTGTAGCACCTCGTCCTCATGCACCTGAGCGGGCGGCAGCGTTTGGACGGACCCAGACTGCCACTCCCCCGTGCCCATGCCCCTCACAACCCCCTCCCCCGCGCACATGCCGCGCACAACCCCCTCGTACAGCCCCACCAGCTCCTTCCAGAACCGCTGCCGCACTGCTGGGTCCCACGTGCCCATGGCGCCCGACAGTGCCACGCTCTGCTGCTGCTGCTGCTGCTGCTGCTGCTGCTGCTGCTGCTGCTGCTGCTGCTGCTGCTGCTCCTTGTGTGTGCACGTTCCGTGTGTCTCCTCCACCGACGCACCGCTATCGCTACCGCTCCTCGAACCTACCTCCGCCTCTCCCAGCGTTCCATGCTTCTCTAGGCTCTCCGGATCTGCTGCAGATCTTCGGAGGGCGGTTGGGGCTTGCTGGGATGACTGGGGGCGAGTAGCGTGCGAGGAGGAGGCGGAGGGGGCGGAGGAAGCGGCGGGGGCGGGGGAGAGGGGGAGGGGGAGGAGGTTGGGGGGGCAGTCGAACAGCAGCGCGTGGTCGAGCACGTCGGCGAACTGCAGCACGGACGTGCGCCACAGGGGCGAGTTGGGCTGCTCCTGCCGCACTGCCAGGCACCTGGGGGTGTTGAGGAGGGCGGGGGGTGAGGGGCGATGGGGAGTGGCGTGGGCGGGGGGGAAGGAGGGGTGAGGGGCGAGGGATGAACTGCAGCACGGACGTGCGCCACAGGGGCGAGATGGGCTGCTCCTGCCGCACTGCTAGACACCTGGAGACGTGGTGGTGGGGGAGGGGTGAAAGGCGAGGGGGAAGGGGTGAGGGGTGAGGGATGAATTGCAGTACGGACGTGAGCCACAGCGGCGAATTGGGCTGCTCCTGCCGCACTGCCAGACACCTTGGGAGGGGGGGGGGAGGGAGGTTGAGGGGCGAGGGATGAGGAGCTAGGAGCGAGAGATGGGCGGCGAGAGGCGAGAGATGCGCCACAGCGGCGAGTTGGGCTGCTCCTGCCGCACCACTAGACACCTGGAGGAGGGGGGGTGAGGGTTGACGGATGAGGGGTGATGGATGAGGGGTGATGGATGAGGGGTGATGGATGAGGGGTGATGGATGAGGGGTGATGGATGAGGGGTGATGGATGAGGGGTGATGGATGAGGGGTGATGGATGAGGGGTGATGGATGAGGGGTGATGGATGAGGGGTGATGGATGAGGGGTGATGGATGAGGGGTGATGGATGAGGGGTGATGGATGAGGGGCGATGGATGAGGGGCGATGGATGAGGGGCGATGGATGAGGGGTGATGGATGAGGGGTGATGGATGAGGGGTGATGGATGAGGGGTGATGGATGAGGGGCGATGGATGAGGGGCGATGGATGAGGGGTGATGGATGAGGGGCGATGGATGAGGGGCGATGGATGAGGGGTGATGGATGAGGGGTGATGGATGAGGGGTGATGGATGAGGGGTGATGGATGAGGGGTGATGGATGAGGGGTGATGGATGAGGGGTGATGGATGAGGGGTGATGGATGAGGGGTGATGGATGAGGGGTGATGGATGAGGGGCGATGGATGAGGGGCGATGGATGAGGGGCGATGGATGAGGGGCGATGGATGAGGGGCGATGGATGAGGGGTGATGGATGAGGGGCGATGGATGAGGGGCGATGGATGAGGGGCGATGGATGAGGGGCGATGGATGAGGGGCGATGGATGAGGGGTGATGGATGAGGGGTGATGGATGAGGGGTGATGGATGAGGGGCGATGGATGAGGGGAGATGGATGAGGGGCGATGGATGAGGGGTGATGGATGAGGGGTGATGGATGAGGGGTGATGGATGAGGGGTGATGGATGAGGGGTGATGGATGAGGGGTGATGGATGAGGGGTGATGGATGAGGGGTGATGGATGAGGGGTGATGGATGAGGGGTGATGGATGAGGGGTGATGGATGAGGGGTGATGGATGAGGGGTGATGGATGAGGGGTGATGGATGAGGGGTGATGGATGAGGGGTGATGGATGAGGGGTGATGGATGAGGGGTGATGGATGAGGGGTGATGGATGAGGGGTGATGGATGAGGGGTGATGGATGAGGGGTGATGGATGAGGGGTGATGGATGAGGGGTGATGGATGAGGGGTGATGGATGAGGGGTGATGGATGAGGGGTGATGGATGAGGGGTGATGGATGAGGGGTGATGGATGAGGGGTGATGGATGAGGGGTGATGGATGAGGGGTGATGGATGAGGGGTGATGGATGAGGGGTGATGGATGAGGGGTGATGGATGAGGGGTGATGGATGAGGGGTGATGGATGAGGGGTGATGGATGAGGGGTGATGGATGAGGGGTGATGGATGAGGGGTGATGGATGAGGGGTGATGGATGAGGGGTGATGGATGAGGGGTGATGGATGAGGGGTGATGGATGAGGGGTGATGGATGAGGGGTGATGGATGAGGGGTGATGGATGAGGGGTGATGGATGAGGGGTGATGGATGAGGGGTGATGGATGAGGGGTGATGGATGAGGGGTGATGGATGAGGGGTGATGGATGAGCGGTGATGGATGAGGGGTGATGGATGAGGGGTGATGGATGAGGGGTGATGGATGAGGGGTGATGGATGAGGGGTGATGGATGAGGGGTGATGGATGAGGGGTGATGGATGAGGGGTGATGGATGAGGGGTGATGGATGAGGGGTGATGGATGAGGGGTGATGGATGAGGGGTGATGGATGAGGGGTGATGGATGAGGGGTGATGGATGAGGGGTGATGGATGAGGGGTGATGGATGAGGGGTGATGGATGAGGGGTGATGGATGAGGGGTGATGGATGAGGGGTGATGGATGAGGGGTGATGGATGAGGGGTGATGGATGAGGGGTGATGGATGAGGGGTGATGGATGAGGGGTGATGGATGAGGGGTGATGGATGAGGGGTGATGGATGAGGGGTGATGGATGAGGGGTGATGGATGAGGGGTGATGGATGAGGGGTGATGGATGAGGGGTGATGGATGAGGGGTGATGGATGAGGGGTGATGGATGAGGGGTGATGGATGAGGGGTGATGGATGAGGGGTGATGGATGAGGGGTGATGGATGAGGGGTGATGGATGAGGGGTGATGGATGAGGGGTGATGGATGAGGGGTGATGGATGAGGGGTGATGGATGAGGGGTGATGGATGAGGGGTGATGGATGAGGGGTGATGGATGAGGGGTGATGGATGAGGGGTGATGGATGAGGGGTGATGGATGAGGGGTGATGGATGAGGGGTGATGGATGAGGATGCTAGGGACGAGAGATGGGGGAGGGGAGGCGGGAGGTGGGGTTGAACGAATGGATGAACGCATGGGGGGTGGTCGAAGGGGGAGGTGGGCCGGGAGGGGGAAGCGGGAAGGGGAAGAGGGACGGGGAGGGTGAGGGAGAGGGGGAAGTAGGGAGGGGGATAAGAAAAAGGAAGACGGGCCGGCGTGGTCGCGATGGCGTTCTCCCCTTCACCTCACGGCGGGGGGGACCTCATCTGCCCCTCTCGCCTCTCCCGCCCCAACGTTGTCCGCCCAAACCATCCCACACCCCTTTCCGCGACCCTCCCTATCCAGCGATCCCACTCCCTCCTTTTTCGCGACGCTACATTCTCGTCTCAGGCATGTTCGACCACAGGCTACGCTCATCGCCACATGAGACCAACGGTAACATTTGGTTTAGCGCACCTGCCGAGCCACGCAATGAGGTCTGGAATCGCTTCGGGTGACACTTTGCGATATCCCGAAGCTAGCTCCGCCATGCCGGCCCTCGGCCGAAGCAGGTGCGTTCGGCCTGATCTGTGCTAAGAGATGAGACTCGTTGTGCGTCCTACGTGCCACGTGGCAAGTATGTGAAAATGAATGCCCTTAAGTCTACCTACGTGTCTCAACAAGCAGATCCAGAGGCATTCGCCGCGTCTTGTGCGCGGCGATGGGGTAATCCCCTCTTCGCTATCAAAATAGTGGGCGGCGCTTCCCTCCCTCACAACTGTGCTGTTCTTTGGATCTTCGTTGTAGAGTTTCCTGGCTGCAGTTAGTCAGCAAGACTCATCAAACATAAATCAAGCCGTGCTTAGAAAATGCATGATTTTTTGGGTTGCGTAGCAACCTTATACATTTGGTTTCACTTTTCGGGGAACTGATGTGAACAGTGATTTCCCTCCAAAATTTTTGGAAGAATACACTGTTCACATAAGTTACCATACAAGTGAAACCAAATGTGTCCAATCATCCATAATCGTCGATAAGTACGGCGAATAGAATGATTGGGCAATATCTCCGCACGAATGAAGGTACTTGAAGTTCACAACAAAAAACAAACAAACAAACAAAACAACAGCATAACGATATGAAAGCACACACACAATGCATTCGGCACTATATCCCGAAACAGACACAAACTATCGGCGGTACCACACAAGAACTTGCTAAAAAACGTTGGACAATAAAAAATGCTTCAAGGCTAATGCTAAATGCACCGATGATGCAACAGAGGTTGATATGGTGCGGAAGGGGCGAGCAAAGCTGCCCCACCGACGATCACAACCACAGCTGCATACACGAGGCACTCAACACCAAACCTCAAAACAGACACAACAACACACAAACTTGCATAAAAACGTGGACACGATAACAGTTGTGAATGCTTTAAGGCAAATGCTAAATGCATCGATGATGCAACAGAGGTTGATATGGTGCGAAAGGGGCGAGTAAAGCTACCCCACCGACGATCACAACCCCAGTTGCATACGCGAGGCACTCAACACCAAACCCCGAAACAGACACAAACAACACCAACATGTATGGACAGACACATACAGGTTCACTCACACACCTACACACACACGCAAACACGCACAAAAGCATACTACCGCTATTGAACATGCAATGCAAGCGAAACGAATGAGTTCAACCATGTATAAATCATCGTTAACCTGTCCCACATTCCCCTCTCTCCCTCCCTTGTCTCCCATCCCTC